CCATTGTTTTGACACTTAATTCTCAAATCCACAGACAAAGACCCGATATTGCTAACAGATTTACATGGGTTGAAACTTTGACTTCTGGCCATTTCTATTAGTGAAAGAAAAATTACACAGGTATAGTTTAACTACTTAGGAAAATAATGGAGGAAATATAGAGTTGACCTCAATTTAGCAGGAGAATTCCTACTAGTATTCCTAAAACCAGACTGCAACCCATCTTGTATGAATGTCTGTGAATGCTAAGATAATAGCTCCATAAATGTTGATTTCCTGATGAAGTGGGAAGAACGAGTTTTACCTTAATGCACTACATTCGCCTGTGCAGAAAGGTCTTCTATAATATAAATTTAAATATACAATCTGTTTTACAATGTTTTCCATCATCTTTTCTCTCCATATGTTCTCCCACTAGGAATCTAATGAGTTCTACATATGAGGGATGACAAGGGAATATGCCTGAGAAATAATTTGAGCAATTACGGCATATGGAGGCATTGTTTTTGAGTCGCTTCTGCCATGAACATTAGGCAGAGCATCTGGGACCAAATTCTGTCTACCTGCCCATGGACAGTAGCAAAACCATCATCTGCCATTTGTAAATTCTGCTGAGGTAATCTGCCACAGAGAGGACCATTTCATCAGCTTTATGATCAGAGAGCATATTGAAACACAGGCCATTTATACTTAGAGAAAAACGTTTCTATTCAGATAAAACAGTTTGAGCTGGAAAACATTCTGAAAGCTAATGATAGAAAATCATCATTTCTCTTTTTCTTTTATCTCCAAGAAAAACTACAAAGAGCCCATATTTAGTTCCAGGCCATTATTTATGAAAGAAACTTTTCTCATCACTTATGAAGTTTGGTAAGAACCGACTCTCCCAGCTAAAGAGAAAATTACTGAAGAAAAAAAGAAAGCACAAAAAAACCTCGAACTCTAAACTGGTAATAGGAAGAATTATCACAGAATCACAGAATCACAGAATTGTAGGGGTTGGAAGGGACCTCCAGAGATCATCGAGTCCAACCCCCCTGCCAAAGCAGGTTCCCTACAGCAGGTCGCACAGGTAGGCATCCAGGCAGGTCTTGAACATCTCCAGAGAAGGAGACTCCACCACCTCCCTGGGCAGCCTGTTCCAGTGCTCCGTCACCTCACTGTAAAGAAGTTCTTGCGCACATTTGTGCAGAACTTCCTATGCTGCAGTTTCCGGCCGTTTCCCCTTGTCCTGTCTCCACTCACCACTGAAAACAGTCCGGCCTCGCCATTCTGCCCCCCACACCTTAGATATTTATAGACCTGGATCAGGTCCCCTCTCAGTCTTCTTTTCTCAAGGCTGAACAGACCCAGTTCACTCAGCCTTTCCTCATAGGAGAGATGCTCCAGGCCCTTCACCATCTTCGTGGCCCTCCACTGGACTCTTTCCAAGAGATCCCTGTCTTTTTTGTACTGGGGAGCCCAGAACTGGACGCAGTACTCCAGATGAGGTCTTACCAGGGCAGAGTAGAGGGGGAGGATCACCTCCTTTGACCTGCTGGACACGCTCTTTTTAATGCACTCCAGTAAGCCATTGGCCTTTTTGGCCACAAGGGCACACTGTTGGCTCATGGCCAACCTGTCGTCCACCAGGACACCCAGGTCCCTCTCCGCAGAGCTCCCCTCCAGCAGGTCATCCCCCAACCTGTACTGGTGCATGGAATTATTCCTCCCCAGATACAAGACTCTACACTTGCTTTTGTTAAACCTCATCCGGTTTTTTTCTGCCCAGCTCTCCAGCCTATCCAGGTCTTGCTGAATGGCAACACAGCTTTCAGGCGTGTCAGCCAATCCTCCCAACTTCGTATCATCAGCAAACTCGCTGAGGGTGGCCACTATCCCCTCATCAAGGTCATTGATGAAGATGTTGAACAAGACCGGACCCAGCACAGACCCCTGAGGAACACCGCTAGTTACAGGCCTCCAACCGGACTCTGCACCACCAACAACGACCCTCTGCGCTCTGCCAGTCAGCCAGTTCTCAACCCAATATTTTATATTATTATATAATATATATTATTATATATTATTATAATTATATATATAATATTATAATGTATATAATATATATATTATTATATATATTATATAATTATATTATATAATTATATTCTATACATCCAAATATTAGCAAGACATCCAGAATTAAAAATAAAGAGAGAAACAGAGAAAACAAGAGCTTTCTTATAAGGAGACATAGTGAGCAAAACAACCACCTTGCATTTTGAATGTTCTGGATACAATGATCTAACTACAAAGACATAAAGCTAGAGAATTTAAGATCAGTTTTTGACATGCTTGTTCTAACAATAAGGAGAAAAGACTGAGAAATTCAACCAATATGCCGATAAAGTGTAAACCTGCAACTGCACCTATTTCATCATTTTCAAGAAAAATCTCTCAGCGATGTAAATAACATTAGTATTTTTACTATTTTTTTTTCCCATTATGCATTGCTGAATTTTAAGAAAAGTAATACATCCCAAAGTGCAGGGTCTCTAGTGTTTCTCAGTCGTATTGTGGAGAAAAGAATGGCCCTGTTGTTACAGAAGATCTACACAGACTTTTATAGTAATGAACATAAGCATAATTTGAAAAGCTAATATAAAACATTAGCAAGATTACATATGGACAGTAGTACTTTTATTACACAAATTATTCTTAAACTTAGTTGGACAATAACTGATTTCAGAAGTAATAGCTGGCTATAGTTCAAGCCTTTCAGTCATGGCTAATATTGATCTGATGAGTTATATTTAATCAAGAAAATCTATGATCAAAGAACAACTGGACTTCACTTCCCATTGCCACATAACAGTACCTGAATGGTAGAAAGGAGGATTTGAAAACAGAGAGAAAGTTATTTAATCATTAACCTCAACAAGGACAAGCACATGAATTTTGATTTGCTCATTCAGGATTTTTTGAGCAAAATATTGGACACAAAATTTTGAAGGCTTTATCCAAGGCAGTTTGCCCTTTCTACAGTCTAGTTTTGGAGCAAATCCCAGGAACACAAAACAGATCTTTACACCACTCTAGAGAACAGAACCAAGGACTTGCTGTCACCACCACAAAAAGCCCCAACCTGGATTTCTGTGGGTTGCTGCCTGTATGCAGGATCCACATCCCCATAATCTCCATCTCTGGTAATGAAACCATACTACAATGGTTTTGCCTAGCCTGGCATCCCACTGATAGTAGGCTGAGAAAGAGCAGTCATTCCTCTATAGAACTTTTCCCAGCTGACACAAGCAATGGTCCTCCTGCCAGAGGCTCTAAAATTAATTTTGGATTAAAAGATGTTGGCAACATTTGTCATCACTTGTCAAAATAAACTTGTGGGAAATTTACCCTTTTTATATACTAGCTTTTGTAATCACCACATAAGAAGTGCAGATGAATACAGAAGATGCAAAACAACCAGCCATGGAAGGCATTTTTGCTGAAATATTCACAATGACAGTAAAGCGATAGCAGAAAATTCTGTACAGGAACAAGATCAAAGATGTAATGTGGAAATATTTTCTAACACTATAAAAGAATAAACAGAAAAGTTTTTCAGGATACAAACTGTTATGAACACTGATCAAGTGATTAGGTAATTCTCATTATTTAATATCATTTAAATAATGTGAAAACATTTATTGCTACCCCATTGTTCAGGCGTGATGTGTTTGATTACAAACCAATCTAACCATTGGCAAGAAAAAAAGAGATAAAGGCAATACTGCTATTACAAACCAACACTGTGTCCTTTTCCCTTGTCAGTATCGTTGTTAACATCCTACTTGTAAAATTCAAGTCATGAAGGAGGAGGCAGTAAATCAGCCAAAAAGAATGCCAATCACATCTTTCTGTTTGGGTGTTACAGACAGTCATGCATTACCCAGATAGTTATAAAAGCCTGCTGTACAATCATAATTAGGAAAATAACAACAGCAACAACAACAAATAAGCTGCATATACTTTCAAAAGAACAAACTTTATAGTAGGTATTTTGTTCTAAAATATATCTGATGCAGATTTTTGAATTATTTTTTTTTAAGCTCTATTTCATATTTATTAGATCTGGCTTGGAATTTTTATCATTAAAACTCATATCAGGATTTCCTTTTCATTTTGTTGAGCTGACCCAGTATGTTTCACTTTGAAAGGTTTGAACAAAGCAGTCAGTCTTCTTTCCATTACTGCACTCCCATACAAGACTGCAGACAGAGACCACACATTTTCTAATGATTCAGAGCTCTTGATGACTACTGAGTTTGAAAGGACACACGGATTTCCCTCTGATCTTTATGCCTGATAATGTTTTTATTCAAATGTATATCAAATAAAGTTGGAAGCAGAATATAAGGAATGAAGTAGAAAATGAAGAATAATTCATCCCCAGACACCCACAATATGAATGTCCATAGCTGACATGAGCTACTACATTGAGTCACCTCAATTTTCAAAGACACCACTGCTAAAACAGACACAGTGGACAGCTGAACTATGGTTCCCACATTGCCCTGGGATTGACCAGCAGAGCTCACTGGTTTTACTTTTTAAAGCAGTTCAATAAATTAAACCAAACATTACCATTTTAGGAATGTCTACCATGACATTTTCAGGAATACTGTGGGGGAAAAAAGCAGTGTTTGTATTCAGCCTAACCTAAAAAGAGCAGTGCACCCACTTGAATTTCCCATGATAATGCTAGAACAGTTGCATTAGATCAATTTCCTTTGCAGAAAGATCTTTCAAACCAGTGGGAGAGAATTCCAGCTCTACTGAATAAGTACAAAATTAATAAAACCTTTGAAATTCTCACTCACTGAACAAAATTATTTTGTTCTACATGTAAACAAGATAGATCTTCAAAGTGCACATCCATTCAAGGAACTCTGTTTTATATCACAATTTTATTCACTTGTTATGAATTATCACAACATTAATCTACTGCAGATAATCTACTCGGTATATTTGAAAATCCATTTATTTTCACTTATTGATATGCATGTGTTACACTTGTATATAATACAGTATTTTCAGTGTTGGTTTAAGAACAAAGGAACAAATAAAACAATATTGAGAAGCATGATGCAGACTTTCGACCAAAGACAGTTCAGATTTTACAAAACACCACATTTAATACTTTGCACTGTCCCAGTCTTTTTAAGATGCTACCTTCCATCCTGCATTAGCACATCATCCATTAGCACAAATCCATTCATTACTAATCCATCCTAAAATACCGAGATACCTAATTGCTGCTACAAACAGTTTATCCTAATTAAATTTCAATCAGAAAAGAATATTTTTCCCTGCCAACATTTTTTATTATTTCTCAGCAGAATGATAGAAGATATTTCTCAATTTTATTCCCAACAATCATTTATTTAGTTTAAGATCTCCTGTGCAGTAACACAACAGAGGTAATGAAATGGTTTTGGAGCAGCCGGGGATAGTGTGACAGGCAGATCCCTCCAAGGTATGCAACCATCATGGAACTTTATATATAACTACCTTGCTATGTCAATAGCTTGTAATGAAAAAATCATTTCCATCTTTTTTCAGAGAGCTTGGTAACCACACAGGACTTCTAAATAAGCTTCATCCTATATATTTTTTGCCTACCATTAAGTGTGTGTGCTTATCATTTAATGCACCAAAGCATACAGTCAGAACTCCCTCACTCTCAGTTAGCATGCTTATGTAGTGTCATTAAAAGGAATTGCCAAATTTTTGTTGTATCAATATTACAGATGGCACAATATACACTAAATGAAGTATAAAATTATACATTCTGTGATAACTTAGAAAAAAGTTCATAGATGCTTAAGGCCTTTAAATATGGAGGTTTTTTCATGTAACAGCACATCACAAGGTTCAAAAAATTGCTACTGAAATAGAAAATTAAAAAAAGAAAATGTGATTTTGGCACAGATTAGGTTTGAATTTGAGGACAGTAAGCAAGCAAAATACTCATGAACCCTATATCTAGGAGGGCACTAGGACATTTTTCCTTTATAGCAATCAGTCTGAGCAGACATCTACACAAGCATCCAACAGTACTTAGTTTCAAGCAAGAGATTTTATTTTTCACTGAAAAGAGAAAAAATTCTGAATGATTACCACCCAATTTCATAATTGAAAAACTCATTTACATCCCTGCCTACATTTATAAAAATGGATGAAACACTTTCCTTGACTGCTTACCATGAATTTCAGTGATTTAAAGGTTGGGAAAGTAAAGTGCAGGAACACTTGCCTCCTTCAAAGTAAATTGAAATATATATCTTAAAGGTATAAAATGCTTTATAATGGAAGTGGTAATTGAGTTTTGACCACTACTTTTTTTAACTGCCAAATAGCTGCAGTAGTTGGTTAGCCTTAGGGAAACATGTCAACCCGACTATACATTCTAATATGACTGATGTATTCAGATAACTATTACTTGTCAACAATAATTATTAACAATGGGTATATATTTCCATTCCTATAACAAAAGCAACTTCAAGATGTTGAAATATGTACCCTTTAGAGCTCCAAGATTAGATTACAAATAAAAATGTCTAAAATTGTGCCATGCCAGAGGACAATTTCTGCAATGGAAATTTAATTAAAGCAGTGTGCAGTCCCACCAGCAATCGGAATGTGGACCAGGGATCATTTTAGAGGGGAGGAACCAATACATTTTGGAGAGTGACTTCATCAGGATGAAATGCCACCAGTCTGGAAAGAAGAATCCGAATGATTGCTGATTTTCTGCACCTTTCAAAAACCATCTCTTGAGATTACAGCTGCAAATTCCTCTGCAAGTGCAATTTTACAAGTGTACACAGTTCACTCAGTTGAAATCTCTGTGACACAGAAGTTCAAAATAACTCTTCAGTAGTTTTGATCTCAAGGCTGTTGTTGATTACAAACCAGGTTCTCATTGAAACAATTGATTCTGAAGGCTACACCCCAGCAGTACAAAATTTCACTTCAAGGATTGCCTGGAGAAATGAAATTCCTATGTGTTGTATTTAACGTTATCAGCCTTGAGACCGACTTGATTTGTCTTTAGCTATCGGGTTACCTGCAAAGAAAAAAGAAAATCAGAAAATCAAAACTGTACATAGAGAATCTACTTCTGAAGTCCTGGAAACTGAAGCTGAAATATAAGTCCTCTGCCCAGAAAAGCTGTTTCAGTTGTTTATAAAGAAATGAATAATTCCCATTGGTAGTGGATGTGGACACTCCCCAAGTTACACTGGGTTATTAAGTGCTTTGTTGGAATTTGATCTCAAAAGGAGACACTCAAATGTGACCATTCTTAAAAATATAATTTAAAAAAACTGAAGGTCACAAAGAACATTGGGTTTAAGGAAACTTTCCATGTTTTGTTCATCCTTTTCAGTGTTAGAATTTCTGAACGGTAAAAACAATCCCTTTAAAATGCTAACCATCAGGTTCTGGAGACGTATTCATCTATTCTTTGCATGCCACTTGAAAATGCAATGTTCTGTTAAGTGCTAAATATATTCTAGCAAGCAAAAACCACTTAGTGGTGAAAAAGGACAAAAGCCATGCATACATAAACAAAAGCTATATCTTTCCTGTTATTTGCAAGGTATAAAATAATTCAAGAAGTTCACTTAGAGTGATATCACCCAACATAACGGGAAACGAGTGAAAGAGAAGGATCATCTAGAAAGAGCAACAGGCAAAGCATTCACATTAATTGGACTTTCCTCGTGTCTAACTCAGTTTTCACATATTAAAAGAAAAAACGTCCATCATAGAAATGTAATTTTGAGGAATATTTCTGCTGTGTCAGTGGATACAATTAATGATCATGTAACATTTTAATATCCAATTGTGTCAGGGGACAACATCCCAAATCGTGATGAACAACCTAATTGGATTGGTCACAATAACACCTTATGACAGACATCAAGGGGCATATGCTCTTCATTTTGATCTCAGAGAAAAGGATCATGCTCTGTAATGATGAAACATTCTTTTGCCTTCAGCAAAACTGTTTGCACACAGCTCTCATCAGCTCTGCAGAGCACAAACATAGAGCAGAATATTAAGAAGACTGTTCTAGGAGTTCATTACTTCAGTTTGCCTTCACTAAGTTGTTTCTAGGAACAGCAATTAGGAAGGTAATAATAAAATTGTGCTCTGTGGGTCTTATAACACCAAAGATTTATTTATTACACTTTTATTTTTAGTTCTTGATGTTGTAAACTGCTTCATGTGACCCTTTCTGTAATGGAAGATTGCATGAAACAATAATAAAGAATTAATTTAAAAGTCAGGCAACATATTTCTATACCCTGCAACAAAGCTCAAAATGCTTATATTAGCTTCACTTGATACAAAAACATGTAAAAAAACTGTGGTAAATCATCTGATGCAAAACACACTGAAAACAGATAAAAAGGAATGAGACTCCTAAAGGGGTCAAGTAGATACAGGGCCAAAGTATCTTACATTTCTGTATCACAGAGTATACCAGAACGAAAGAAGAACCAGAGGAAGGTTTCATCAGAGACACAACTGAAAAGGCACAGTCACATGAACTCATCTGAATTCCTTGTCTGCCCACATCCACAGAAAGTAAGTCTTTGTTACTGAAAAGAGAGGACATAAGCTCTCCTTTTAGAGATGAAGTTGACTATGAGCCAGCAATATGCCCTTGTGGAAAAGAATGCTAATGGTATCCTGGTATGCATTAAGCAAAGTCAATAGAATCATAGGATCATTTGAGTTGGAAGGGATCCTAAAAGGTCATCCTGTCCTACTCTTCTGCAATGAATGACCTACAGCTAGAACACCTTGCTCAGAGCTCCATCCAGCCTGATCTCGAGTGTCTCCAGGGATGAAGAATCCACCACCTATCTGGGCAACCTGCCTCACTACCCTTATCATAAATACTTCTTCCTTATATCCAGCCTAATCTTCCTTTTAGTTTGAAGCCATTTCCCCTTGTCCTATCACAAGGGATCTTGATTACAAGTCTTTCCCTTTCATTTCTATAGCTTCCCTTAAGGTATCGAAATGTCTATTTCCCATATCTAGCTGTACAACTGTGTGATGAGAATATCCCTGTACAATCAACATGCACTGTTACATACAGTGAGTAAAGAAAAATGACTGATAGCCGTTCCTTGCTTTATATTGGTGTCTAGCAATACACAAATGTCATGTTGCTTATACAGTCTACATAGGAGGTCAGGTTTCATAATCCAGGTTTTTACAGCTACATCATTGCAGTTTTTACCTCCTCTCCTTTGCCAGAATTTTTACTATTCTACCTGCTCTACGTTTTTTTTTTTCCCCCTTAATGTACAGATCACACACTGCTACTCCGAGTAATACACATAGTTGTCCATATTTTTCTCTATGTAGGAAGGTAATACTTGTTATGAGCAAGCACACACCAGCTATTAACATTAATGGAAATTATATATCCATACACTTTAGGGAGAGAACAGACCTCTCAGATGTTAAAGGCAATTTCATAAAGAAGCAGGGAAATTTTAGCTAATATATAGTGATGTTATTTCCAGAAATGCCTGATCTGGGACAAAATAAAAGCTGTAGGATTTGAGTAGCTGTGAAACAGGATATTGTGCCAATGGTCTTCTTAACAAAACAGGAACTGAGAACACCGTGTGTCTGATCTCTAAAATCCTAAGAGAACAGTAACACACTGAATGGGTGCAAGTCAAGACTAATCAATTTTTCAGTGAATAATTAATATGCATGAAAATTAACTTTGCTGCTGCTTAACAACACAAATGAAAAAAGTACATAGAACCTTAAGCGTCATAGGTATTGATTTGAATTAATTTGTTCATTCTTGGGACATAATTACTCCCTTTATGCTAATATATTTTTCACACGGTTATTATGTCATAAATACAATACATTAGGCTCTCTTCACTTTCTTGTACTAAATGTGCAATTAAAGTATAATTACTCTGCCGTTGCAGACTTTTAATTTAAATTAGTGAGTGGATGCTGTAAGTTGGCTGTAATTGTATGTGAACTCATTTTATTTTAAAACAATAATATAAAATTAAATATATCTGAAGTTTTCCACATTTCTTCTGCTAATGTTCCTGCAAGATTCAGTCCTTGGGTAAAACTTTTCCAGTGTGATCCAGAGTGAGCCAGAACTGAGGAGATCTCAAGGGCAGCACATTAGAAAAGCGATCAGTTCAAGAGATTTTCTGGTCAGCTTCTGGTCAGTGCTACCACAAACATGAAAACTGTTCTCACTTGTGAAATTCCCACAGCTGATGAATACAGCAGATAACATGTTCTATTCTGTCAGAATAGGTTTCTGATTAAAAAAAAAAAAAAAAAAAGTCTGTCACTTTTACGCAAGATGTTCTCCTGCCTTAGAAGAGGAAGGAGAAAATTAAAGACTATAGGATGAAAAGCATGGCTGAGTGAATGTTCTCTATGTAAAAAAGCAGTTTTAATAACTGTCATAAACCTAAGCATCAAAGTTACAGAGTGTCAATAAGGCACAGCACAATTCTTCTATTTTTTCAGAGAAATAAATATATTGAATACATCCTAACTTCATAACAGTTTATACACACAAATGAGGTATAAATGCAATCATTAACTAATTAGTAATATTTTCAGAAAACAGATAATATAAATTGAAGTCAGTGTGTGGTGGAACATTTCATAAGGCAAATTTTTACATTACTAATTTTTTGACTGTCAGATCTATCTTTTTTGTTCCATGTTTATCATATCTCATACATAAAATCCATATTCAAAACAAAATAATGAGTTAGTAAATTTAGCACTTGAAACTTAGGAACTTCCATTCTGTGGGCACCCTTCCAAGAAGGACACTCAGTTCTGGTTTTTACCCAAAGAATTTATATAAATATGAGAGTCAGGAAGAATTTAATACTTAATATTTTATTGCCACCAAGTTTTGTTTCCTCTTCAATCATAATTTGTCCATCAACTATATTGCATAGGATTATGTGTATGGCCACAGAATGAATGTTGTCTGAGCATACTGAAAAATCATCAAGCTATCTTTACTTTTTTCAGATATGTAAGACAGAGAAAGGGAATTACATATTTTTAATAGTCAATAGTTCACCCTGTGCTAAGTGGAATTGCATTAGACAAGAAAAGCCTTCTTGGCACCCCTACATTCTTCTGCATAATTTTAAAAGCCTGTAGAAAAATGGTGTGGGGGTTTCTTAAAAAATAAAAAGACTCTCAGAAACATATTTAATAGACAACAGGAGACAAGCTAAGCACACGGAGTGTCACAAGAATCCCTTAAATTCTTGAACAAAGAGACACATTACAAAAATCCCTAGCTATGAATTGTCCTCAGAAACATGTCTTGGAGACAAGATAGAGATCTTGTACCAATATAGTCCTTATTTGCATGCAGTACAATTTTGCATCCTTACTTTCACATTCTTTCTCATACTGAACATAAACAAAGCACACATACACACACGCACACACAAAAAAATAATAAAGCAGTCAATGAAGTAGTCTTTTAGTAAACCTTACCTAAAATAGGATAGGTTTTAAGAAAGTTATTTCAGTTATATTTTTTCATGAAAAAAAAAAAAAAAATCAACCTATTTTGGTAATGAAAGCTTAATATGGACATTACAATGAAAAACGGAATTGCCCATATAACCAGAATCAAATATCTGTCTTTTTTTTTTTTTTTTTTTTCTCTTATGTGCCCTGCATAACAAGGTCCAAGCTGGAAATAAATATTTTGAACAGATGGAAGTTCATTATTTCCTGGAACTCCAAAATTCATACAGCATGTTTGTTATGCACTGTTATTCATACATGGCTTGTTAAAGCAAGTGACATTTTGCATTGCCACTTGTTCATTTTTGTTGATGAAATATTCCATACTTGCAACATACTACTTTGTATCTGTGATACTTCAAATTACTTATCAAATCTTAATAGAGGACAAGCTGACAATTTCCTCAGAACATGAGACTCCTGTATTTTATTTTCTACATTAAGGAACAGACAAAGGACAGACAAAGAGAGTGGTTAAGGATATGTTTGCAATAGGGTATCCATATTTGTGTGCACTTAATAGTAGATAGGTGTAGATTTATGTGTCCATAATAGATAATCAATTTATGAGGGAGAAATCATTTCAAAAGTTTGAGAAAGGTTGAAGTGATTCATTTGTACTTCAGAAGTATGCTTAATAGAGTAACTGCAAAAGAGAACTAAGAGTTGGGAAACAGGCTGCTGTTTCGTGACAGTAGACTGTTACTTGACTTGAGCTAATGACACAAGACAATATTAGAGTTATTTCTGGGCAGCTGTGAAAACAGCTACTTAATTATAACTATACCAATTAATTTACCTTCAGTGAGGGTTAAGTATTGACGGATTTTTTCAAGTCCTCAATTATTTCATTCCTGGCAATAAAATTTCAGCCATACCTGTCTCTTGATATCAAAACTCAAGAGTATTAATTTCTTCTCTTCACTATACTTTAGAGAATGCAATATAAAATGTGTTTCTAAACATGTTCACAAGCATGCAGCAAAGCAATTTAGAATTCTAGATCCTCAGGTATGTCCTTCGGCAAACAACTCTAGCTCATTTCATTAATTAAACAGAACATTTCCCAATACATTTAAATGGCTCCAAAGTTTCCGATGTCTTTCATTAGTACTAGATTTGAAAGCTCTTAATACTTTTGTGCTTTTATTGCACTGTGACTAAACAGAATTGTATTTGTGAACATTCTGGTACTGTAGACTGTTCATTAGAATGAAAATAACATTGAAAACTCGTTTCACACCGTGCTGTTTAAGTATACTTTTGTATTTCATGTCTTCTCACTACTCTTAATGATTTTGGCAGGAAATTTTAGCTGTTAAATATGCAGATCTAGAGAAGCATTGTTAAACACTGTAAGGAAAACTAAAAGGGCTTTCACATGTAAATTGAGCTTTCCATTTGCCCCATATATACTAATCATATGCCAAGTGAACTTAAAGCTAGAACTAGAAAAATAGAAGAAAAATATTTTAGAGCATGGCATACATTTCTGAAAACAGGAGAGTTTTAAGATTAAACAGACAAATTCTATTATATTTAAGGAATATGGCACAAATACCCCTTTCCCAACTTGCTCTGAATTGAGTATGATACCAAGCTTTCAACAATGAAACATCTATCTGCATGTAACAAGATGTATGTCTTTTTAAACAGTGCTTTCATGCTTTCCTACAATGATAACACAAATGTATTAACTGGATCTCTCTTTGAAAGGGGAGTGAGAGAAGAAAGATGTTTAAAGGCTTTTAGAAGCACCTGATTGATGCACTGAAGCTGCTTAGCAACACAGGGCAGAGTCTCTTGAACCACCCTCCTGGAGTCTTGCACAAATAAGCCAGGATTCCTGTGTATCTGCAGCAAACTAAATAACTACAATGAAGAATAAGGTACAACAGTTCCTGTTAATACTATGTAAACCTGTATTTGTACACACCTGCTGCTCTGTGAGTAATAAACCAGGGCTGGAACACATTTTCTGGAGTGGTTTGACTCTTTATTCCTCAACGAACGTTCTGGCCCTTCCTTAGAATCCGACCATGACTAGGATTCATCACAACTAGTGCTCCAACGTGGAGCCAGATTATTTAGTATGTGTGGAAAAATCATAAATTGTCATCAGGCACAGCAGAAACCTCCTTTCTCTACTTCTCCATTCGGACTTGAAGAGTTTTACACGTTTGCCTAAGAAACAAACACATGTCAAGTACTACACTGTTACGGAATTACTTACAGAAAACAAAACTGGGATAGATGGAATTTTCTTTAACTTACAGGTAAAAGTGCAGAACAACAGGAGGAAACATATTTCAGAACCAAAGTAAATTCTCTTAGCAAAGGAGCATGGTCTCAAAAAATAACCTGAACAATAACAGCAATTTCAAAGGAAAAGGTTCAAATATACTCAAATTCAGACTTCGTGATTTGTCTAGAAAACCAAACAGAAGTGGATAAGTAGCATTTGCTCTCATTTCTGCACGTATGTCAGTATTCTATTATTAAACAGTAATTGAAAGAATTGAATAGAATAGAATTGAACTTTGATACAAATAAGAGGCATGTGACCAGAATACATTTTCTTCTAAATGAAAGACTTGAGTGTTTTCTTAACGTTAAAAAATACATTAAATACATTTAAAAAAAAAAAAAAAAAAAAAAAAAAAAAAAAAAACACAAAACAAAAGAAAAAGAACTCAACTGCATCAAGTTTGACAAAAATGTGCATTCAGAGAACTCTACTTACAGTCTCTTCTATGGCTAGTAGGCTACAGGAAACACCATAAAATAACATCAAAACACGCTGTTTAATTCAGGCACCTATTTCCTTATCTTTTGAGATTTTTGAGATAAGTTTTTGGATTTGCTGATAAATTCTGACTACTTCTGAAAAGGGTTTCACAGCACCTCAAAAGACCAACTAATTTTCTTTAAATAATGCTTATGAAAGATAATTATCTTCCTTTTTTTCTTTTTCCATCTGACCTTTTAACATAAATGTCCTACTGCAGATTATTAGACACGTCTATTACAAGATAAAACTCATAAGTTGGATGGTCCCTTGATTTAATAAAATAACTACACATTTAAAATATTATCAGAGAAATAAATGTGGCTCTGGATTCACATTCACTTGAATTTGATATTTTACAAAATAAATGTAATTGATATAATGCACTGGGACAATTATCATAGTATATAGCTGATGAAGACATTTGAGTTATGTCAAAGATAAATATAATTCATTACTTTTTCAAATGTATTTTGTTGTTAATCTCTTCCAAAAGACAATGTCACTACAATGTCCATAACTAAACTTTCTCAGTGATTCTGTAATTCAGCAGAGAAATCAAGTTTATGTTAGACTGTTAAAACTTCACAAAATTTTTCATTTACAGACAAAAGTTTTGTATTGAGAGAAGACTTAAACATAAACCTTATTTTACTTTCTGTAACAGATAATAACTGTAGTAATTCAGACAAGGATATATCCTCTTGTGGTTTTTGGAGGTGATCACAACTCCACAGTGGGACTGCAGCATGACGACATAAAAGACTGCAAGACAGTTAATTAAAAAAATGTAATTTTCTTCTGTTTTACACCATCTAATAGTCACAAAAGGAAGACAAAAATAACCTCAGTCCTTTTTACAACAAGGCAATCTGAAGGATTATAGAGTCATACTACCCTGCTAACTCTGAGAAAGTAAAGGGAAAAGCAGAGTCCTTTTGTCTTTCACTCAAACTTACAGCACTAATCTAAATAACCTACTATTATTCTTGATTGGAAAGTGAAACCTCTACCAACGAGCTACGAGTCTAATATGCTAACAAAACAAAAAGGAAGTCATTATTTTAAACTAGGTTGAGTTTTTAAATTACCTATTAGCTAAAATGGATTTTCACCTTCTGATATATTTTTCCAGAAACTGTCTAAGATTGAACTTCAAATTATCCCTAGTAATGTGTTATCCCCAGGTGTGTTATTTTTCTAGGGATTTTGAATGAAGAATAACAAGCCATTTGGATGAAATCAAAATAGAAACATAAATTATTTCCTTACCTGTAATTTTATCTCCTCTATGAGGGTACCTGCTGCTTTGTTAGTGCAGTACTGATGTGTTTTCTACCTTTGTCCCAAGCTCCAGATTCCTTTGGTGATTTTCCCCCACTTGCTTACCAGCTTCCACTGCTGGCATTTTGAGGTAGTGCACTCACATTTGGCTCCACGAATACTGCCACAGCTGAGGGAATATAAGACAACTAAAAAACAAGTTAGAATACAGGAGAGCAATATCCAGGCAGGAAAAAAAAATGTTTAAAAACAACGAATCAGTCAGCAACTTGAAACACTTTGATCACTTTCCTCTTTCTTTCCATCAATTTAGAGTTTCCAAATAAAGAAAAGACTTTCCCGTGTGCAGAGAAAATTAAGGCAAAGTAGTGAGTGCTGACAGAAGAGTGGGCATCCATTTAGAGAATATAAAATTATTTTAAGGGAATCTAATTTTAACGTTCTCCAGTCTGAGTACCCATCACACTATCACTCTAATACAAATAAGAAACAGAAGAAAGGTGGCAGATTTAGAAGATTACAGAAAAATCCCTTTCACCCTTTGTCAGTTCTTAATAGAAGCAAGAAAAGGAAGAATGAAGAGCTTTTCACCGAAAAGCTGTCATAAATGAACAATTAGGATGATTTCTCACTGCCTAGGGAAAAATACATAAAGCCTGGTTCACTAGGAAGTAGTCAGGGTCACAGCTGCTCATTCCTGACTAGCTGTTGGTCTTGGTTATTAGAGAAAAAGAATGAAAAAGAGAAATCAGTACTTCCAATTTAAATTTAAAAAAAATATATACAGAACAGAGAGCAAATTCACCATCTGTGCTTGAAGGAGCATGCAGATGACTAAGTTTCCCTGTGATCTTCTTGAACATCTGACATGTATGATCACAACTTCCTGTGACATTCTTGGAAGCATACACGTTGATATTAATTCCAGAAAAATTCTTTGATGGTCCTCATCAGCATTTTCTCCAAACTTGTGATAAACTTGAAATACCTCCTTGCTTGAGTATTATGGATATTTCCAGGTAAAAGATACAACTTCCTACAACTTCTGTGTTCTGGGGATTACCTTAATGCTGTTTTTTGGACTTTGTAGTGCACAGAAAATTTGAAGTAATGAAGAAAAGGCCAAAAGGTTCTGAAGGTTGTAGCCTTCATATTTCAGGAATGTAAGTAACAATTATGTGATTTAATGTCAAGAAAGAGAAAAAGGACTATCGCATGGAAATCTCTTGAATGACTCTCAAAAAGAAATTGGCTTTGCCAGCAATCAGCTTCAAAACTGACAAGCTGCATTCTAGGAGAAAGTTTATTCTTCCTTTTTTGTAGATAATGTTGAACAATAACTATTGGCAACTGGAATTAGAATTATGCCTTGAAGACAATAAATTTGCTACGCTGCTCTTTTCCAAGATCACTCCAAAAAGATTGCAAGGAGGTACAACAGAGGGATCTCAAGACTGTAGAATAGCTACTGTACATTTGACTAGATTGGTAACAGCACAAGAAAAGTTAACTTCTTTGGTCTTCTTTTGGCAGGGTTATGTCCCTAAGCCACAAAGCTCAAATTCAAGATGAAAGAAAAAGCTGCTGTTCTGTCTAGCATTGGTGAGATATTTTCTGGTATTCTCAAACTTGAACACACATAATTTTTGGGCAGTTTAAAATACATTAAAATTCTTGAATCTTCCATTCCATTCACAGGTTAAATAGAAACAATCCATTGTTCACTTGATATGGTAGCCATCTTTATAAACTGGAGACACCCTAGTGTTCACTTCTGGTTTTAGAGACTTTACCAAGATAATGCTACAGGTCACATTAGGCAAAGAAGTCATGCTGAAATTGATATTTTGCAGCTTTGCTCAAAATCTTCACTTCAGAGCTCTATGGTATTTCTCACTGCAGATATAGAAGGCGATGAATGGTAGTCCTTAGGACTGAAATATCTGAGAATGAATCGTCTGTACGTGCTAATAAAGGAGCAGAAGAAAGCTCAAAATGTACTTTTAGAACATTCAAAAACCTTTGCAGACTTTTCTCAGTAACAGTAGTATTTTGCCCAAGATGAACCAAGTCTTCCTCAGGGTGTAAAAGGAGTAAATTATAAGCTATGAAAATATAAATAATTTTGAAAATCTTACAGAAATGAATGTAATGTTGGTCCTCTTATTTTATTTTTTTTAAAATTCAGTCCTAGAGATCAGTCTCTCATTTAATCTTGCCTGAAACACATTTTTTTTCTTCCGTCTAAATACTCTTTGGATAGGAATGGACTGTTTTCATTATTCTAATTAGGATTCCAACTGATTTGAGAGTTTTTCACTGGTTACACCAGTGAATGCTTTGTGTGACTGACTTTGTCTAATTGTTTTTTATTTTCTATTCATTTTTTTCTCTGCCACTAGAAGGCAAAAAAAGCAGAGCTAAAACAGAGCAGAACATCTGAGGTTTTCTATACAGACCTAATGAATAAGAAAATACCTCAAGAAAACTATGAACTTTGGGAGAACTGAAAGTAATACCTTTTAGAAAACTGGGGTACATTTTCCCACACCCTTACATCATTTCTGTGGCTGAACAGTTTGTGAAGCTTGTGCAAAACAGAGGCAAGAGTTCTGCATGCAGCATTGGGTAATGAGAGCTTTCAGATTACTCCAGTCCTTCTGAATGAAATTCAGTCTTTCTGACTTTCAGAAATGATCCAAAACACTCATAGACCACAAAAGAGGGTGTGACAAGCAAGAAACACTAGTTTTTGAGCATACCAACATTACTCACGTGGTGCTGGCATTTGAATGTCATCTCCCTATATTCGTAAGGTACTGCACACTGACAAAGGTTTCCCATTGCTAAAGCTAAATAAGACTGCTAGATATTCAAAGATTCTATCTTACATAGCTCTGAAAAGGCACAGATGCTGTAAATGAGAGAAAAAACATCTTTGGTTTCAGTGTTATGCCTTTTCCACTTTGTAGAGCAGTGGAGAAAACCAGTAATTTACATATGGCCTTCAGAAGTCATTCTTATTTTCCATTATAGAGGCAGAAAATTATTCTTCAGACATGAGTTTAGTATCTCAAATATGCCAGCAAGAGAAAAACTGAGGAGAAAAAAT